GTTACTAAGGTTATTAAAGTTACTAAAGTTATTAAAGTTATTAAGGTTTTCATTCGACGGTTTAACGCTTTTAAGATTCCGGTTTCGATAAAAATACTTTTAATAAAAACACTTTTAAATATAATGAAAGTATGCGTAAGCAAGCTGCTTCAAGCGGCATAAATAAGTGCTTCTAATTAAGTTATTAAAATTACTAAAGTTATTAATCTGCTAAAGCTTACTTCTTATAAATCGACGTATTAAATTTGCTATAGAGTCTAAAGCATTTCAAAGAAGCTTTATTAATTAGCGTATTAATAGTCTTATTGACAGGTCTTTATAAAAGGTTAATTATAATAATATGCGATTAAAGCCCGTTATCTTAATTCTATATACTTTTCTATTATTTAATATACTTAATACGAGTAATATATTATCTTTTTAAAAAGTTTTTAGTTCTTTGCTATCGTCTTATCAGCTAAAACAAGACAACGATAAAGAAAAAGGCTATAAAGAATCGGGTTTCGCATCTTTACTATTTATTCGAATAAAAAAAAGCGTTTTCGTTATTCTTTTAATTAAAGGAAAGCTAAATAACTTTTATTAAGAAAATCGCCGCCGACCCGTAAGCGACTTAAAAATCAAGTATTAAGTTTTTCTTTACTTCGATCGTTTAGCGTTTCGAAAGCCTTTTTTAGCTATTAAATATTTTCTTTTAATTCCGGATCCGAATTAAAAGTTATCGGCCCTTTTTTGCTTAACTTAAAATAAGACCGCGAGATTTAAGAGAGTCGTAAAATTAAAGCTAACGCTAAAAAGGACTTCCGGATGCAACGCAAAAAGGCTTGTAAAGCTGTAAAAAATACTGCTTAAGCTAAAGAAAAACGCCGCCGCAACTTTCAATTTTAAAGGTTTATTTTTTTTTCGGACTTATCATAATCGTATGTTACTTTAGCCGAGTATAAGCCGGCGGTAAATAAAAAAAAATAGCAAATGATTTAGGATTTTCATTTGATTATAAAAGCTATTTAAATAAACTTTTGCTTTTGTTGCAACGAAAAATAATTCGAAATGCGATTTAAAAAAGTCTGCGGCGATATCATTTATTACAAGTGTGACCGCCGTAATAGATCTATTAAAGAGCCGGATCTCTTTAAACAGCTTTATCTTATAATAGCTAGCAATAATATAAACTTAAATAAAGTATCGGATTACTTGCTAAAGCTTTCGGTATTAAAAAAAGCGTTAATCTTACCGTTATATATTAATATATCGCTTTAACGCTACCGCGGCTATTAATATAAGTACTCGAGCCACGTAATAACTTTTGCTTTTAATAACGCTAAGTTCTTTAAAAATCTTCTTTTGCTTTTTAAAAAGATTAACGTAATTATTTTTAAGCTTAAAGATTTTAATAAAAATCTTCGAATCAGTAAGCAATTTAAAAAAAAATGCCGAGTTCAGCGCTTTGCGATTTATATTTAGTTTACTTTCTTAAAAGCAAATAATCTTAAGTATATTAATATTAATATAAACTAAGACTTAATAGATTTTTTGCTCGTAGATAAAAATATAAAAGGACGAATTATAATTATTAAAAACGAAACACTTAAATAGCTTTTATTAAAGACAGCGGCTTTAAGTATAAAGTCATCGGCACAAAAACGCCGCCGCTTGCGCCGAGAAGCTCGCGATAATCTTAAAAAAGATTCGAACGAAAATAAAGCTTTTATAGCTGATAAAAATGCTTTACTTGATATAAAAGATCACTTAAATGCTAACGATAACTTACTTAATGATCAAGAGCGTCTTCTTTTAAAGATTATAGTTCTCGATTTAAATTTAAATACTACGGAATCTAATTAGCTCTTTGCTTAAAACAATAAATTCGCATTAAAGTAATATGTTTTTGCTTTTGCTTTAAGCTAGCGATCTACGCTAATCTTTAAGCTAAAACCTAATCAAAAGCTCTTTAATTTAGCTTTTCTTATACTCTTCTTTATTAGCGCAAGCGATTTTTATACTTAACGACTTCGAAAGGTTAATATAAAAGATTATGCTAAATATTTAATAAAGTATCGCGATAAGCGTTTTACGATTTACTTTCGTTTTCGATTTTACTTTTTCAATATTCTAATGCGCTTTAAAGTCGCAAAAGTATTTTTTTATTTTATTAAGTCTCGGAAAAATATTAAAGACTTAAGTATTAATAGTTCGCGAAATCAATTGGAAAAGCAGCTAGCTTTTCTTAATTAAATCGTGCGTTATAAGCAAGCTATTAATAGCATTCGTTTTTTCTAGAAAAAGCAAGGCTATTAGCTAAAAGCGCTAGCTAAATCTTAGCTAAATGCTATAGCAGCCTTTCTTACTTAAAGTATTGCGGACATGTAATAAAAGGACCTTTAGCGCTATCTTCTTCGGTATAATAAATATAAAACCGCTAATTAAGCTAAACGAGCTAAAATAATTTAAAAAAATATTTAAAAGAACCCGGCTATTATTGCTTATTATATTTATATCCGCTAGCAAGCCTTTTTACAAGATATCTTAAGTCATTATTTGCCGTATATTGATTTTTAAGCGCGATAAGAATAGCAAGATCGTAGCTCGGGCTATATTTACGGTATATTTTAATTAAAGAGCAGACCGAACGATGCAAGCGAGCTTAGACTTAATATAAACTTTAAAAAAGACGATTACTTTCGTATTTTAAACTTCGTTAGCTTTTAAAAGGATTATATTACCGCTTATAATTTTAATACGACTCGTTTGCTC